TAGCCTTCAAAGTGGTAGGGTTACAGGATTCCACCACTATACCTGGCTTTGGTGGCTTTTCTTCAGTATTATACTTTAGCACCTGCTGTAGTTTGCATGTTAACTTATCATTCAAAGATCCATGTGTTAAAGATTGGTCCTCAAAGTGGTGCTACTGGAAGGCAGTGTAATCTCTAGAAGGTGGGTTCCAGTGGGAAGTCTTTGATCTCTGCAGCTTATGAATCATGGAATCTTGGCTTCTTACTTTTTCCTCTTCTGCTTGCTGGTCATGAAGGGAGAAGTTTGCTGTTTCGCATATTCCTTACCATTCTATCCAGTACACCCAGCAAAGGCCCAAAGCAGTAAGTCCACCTAGTCATGGACTGGGATAGCCAAAATAAATATTTTTTCTCTTTATAAGTTAATTATTTTAGTTATTTTATCATAGAGACAGAAAGCTGACTGATATACTAACATTTTATTATGAAAACTTGCAAGAATATAGGAAATTTGAAAGTACCTTACCCCAAACCATTGTATCTACCATTTAGATTACATAATTAACATTTTATTATAACTTTGTTATATCTTTCCATCTACCTATCTCTATGTATCCATCAATCCCCTGGAATAGATTAAGCTATAAGCTCAACAACCACTAGTCCATCCAGAAAACAAAATTAGAATTATTTTGATTTTATCAAAATACTTAATAAATGAGCAACATATAGTAGTATTCATTATTGCATTCAACAAATATTTCTGGACTTTCTGGTTTTTGGGTCATGCTGAAAATGTAAAATTGAATAAAACAGTTCAGGCCACTATTCTCATTGAACTTACAACATAGTGTGCTTGACAAACAAAAAGAAGATGTACAAACCTTTCTCAGTGTTTGATATGTGATCTCTATACTTTTCTGTGTGGAATATTTCATAAGAAAATATTTAAAAGAAAAGAAAAAAGAAAAAGAAACTGCTTGGGCTGGGAATTTAGCTCAGTGGTGCCGCTGCCTGCCTTGCAAGTGCAAGGCCCCAATTTCAATACCCGGTACTAAAAAAGAAAGAAAGAGAGAAAAGAAAATTCTCAATAAAAGGCTCTCAAAATATAATTTGTACAAAGATATATCAATAAAGATTTGGCAGGACTGGGGATTTAGCTCAGTGGTGCCACCACCAGCCTCATAAGTGCAAGGACCCGTGTTCGACGCCCAGTACCCCCCCAATTAATTAATTAATTAATTAAATTTTAGAAAAGATTTGGGAAATTTAGCTGTCACTGTTCTTAATTTAAAGGTTGTCATAATAACAAATGGATGTTTTATGCACTGCCATATTATTGCTTGTAATAAAGCCCATATGTAGTAATCTCTGAAACTATATTTGGCCAAATTACTAAATAAATGAATATATTTTAAACCTCATAATGTAGACATTATTTTAAAAGTTTTTAAATTACAAAGTAGTTGTACTTTTTTAGAAGACAGCCTTAAAGGCAAACTATAAAGTCAATTATATGAAGAATCTTACTTTTAATAATCCTATACTACAATATTTTTGAATAAAATATTCTAAAGTTGTTGATAATGCTATTACTGTAAATAGTATATTAACCTTTAACACATTTGTACTTGTATAAAATATAAATTAAATAACTTTTTGTAAAGTTAAATGTCTTCACAGATAAAGTAGTGCCAGAAAATATTTCAGAGACACTTATATTAGACTGTGGGGAAGCTACTATAGACTAATCAAAAGATTCGTTTGTTTATAAGTTTAGGAAAATACTGGTGTTTAGCTTTTCAGTTTTCTGTTCATTTGTTTAAAGCATTTTTTGTCTACTTTGGTTTTGTGTACTTTGGCTAAATCTACCAGTAGTTGAAACTACCCTAAGAAACTAAATAAATTCAACTTTCAAAACTAAATTTAGCCACTTATAACCTGATTATTTAATGGCTATTGTTTATTATCAGTGAAACTACTATGTAAGTCAGTACTATAAAAATGAAGAATTTATAGGGGGTGCAGGGTGAGCAGGGGAATGGAGAAAAAAATTTTAAAAATAAAGAAAGAACCATATGTTGGACCTTTTCCTCCTGTTTCACATTATCTACTATACATTTTGATCTTCCTTTGTGCTTTCTCACACCAGAGAAATTACTCGGTGTTTGCACATGTGTCTTGTTTGTCTCACTTTGGAATATGCATTCATTTGGCTGTAAATGTCTCTAGTTTTTCATTATTTATGGCTGAGTAGTGTTCCATTTGATTTTTTTTTAAAAGGCCAGAGGAAGGGGAATTGGGAGGCGGAGAGGAAAGAAGGGAAAGAAAAAAATGGAAACAAAGTCTTTGTAAATAGGGAAGGGTGGAAAGGTTGAAGGGAGGGCATGGGGATGGGAAAAAATAAGAACCAAGATATATCATGTAAAGGTACAAATTCCCAATGATGAGTGTCATCATATTGCATAGCTAAAATGTACCAATAAACTTAATAAATTAAAAAAGAAAAACAAACAAAAAAATGAAGTACTTGTGTTAAAGACAAATTGCTAAAATAAATTCCCAGACTTACAAACCAATGGGCTTAGAAACATTTGTTTGTGCTATTGGTATGACAGAGAAGACACGTTAGAGAAAAGAAACATTGAGTCAAATCTTTTTAAGTTATAGATTAATCTATACACACCATGTTTACTCCTGACAAATACTTGAGAATAACAATTTTAAAATAATTTAAATTCAATATGTTCCATAAAAATTTAGACATAGGACAAACAGTAAACTGGCACAGTAGTAAATGTCTCTAAATTTTTGCTTAGAAAAACTCTGATAGAACTTTAAAAACTGAACAAAGATATGACCAGGATAATCTATACCTGCTTCTGTACCTGTTCTTGTTCTATACCCTCTACAACACAAATTAAATTATCTCTGTTGTTACCACTATTTCTGACTTAATACTTCCTAAAAGGTCTACTTACATAGAAGATATGATCCAGTTAAAAGAGTGAAATATCAATATTAACTTTTGATCATATGTTCACCTTGTTCTCCTTGGTTTCACTAGGAATTCAATGGGCCTTGTTTTTTAGCTAATTCAGAAGTCAAATCTAAGCCTTACTATAGAAAACTCCCACTCATCCAATGAATATTCAATACATTTTAATTAGTGATTAAATAAATATGTACTCACTAACTTTACAATTATTTAACATTTAAGTTTCCCTGTAGAGAGCTTCCACTCTAGCCAAGATGGAGTGAAAGAGTTTGGATGTAATTTCTGAACTGAAACAATAAATGGACAAAAACACATGAACAGTTCATATAATTAATAAAATAAATAACAAAAGTTTTTAAAATGCTGAGAATCAGACAATAAAAGGCAGCTATTCTTAAGAGGCAAGAAAGAAAAGATGTGAGTACTAGTAGCATACTGTCCGAAATTCTGAGGCCTCAACTCAGGGAGTAGGAACCCAGGTATTGCCTAGTAGGAGACGGTGCTTAGCATCCAGAAAAAATAAGAAACCTAGACTCTTTACTAAATGCACTGGAAAGAAAAAGAGTTGAACAGGGAAACAATTTTAGAGCTTTTCAGCAGATTCCCCCAAATCTGACTTGATCAGTATATGGTTGTTAAAAAAATGAAGAAAAATAAACAAAAAAACTACTTAAAGCTGAAGAATGATACAAAAAACTAGGGATAAATTTACTCAGTATTAACCCAGGACTGGGAGCCATGACAGTTTCCACAAGCCAAGAAAGCCTCAATTTTTATGAGCTAGAGAACACAGAAAAATCTCTTCACTCTAACTAGAATAACTGGCCTTACAACTGAGTATGACCCTTTTTCCACCTAAGAAATCTTAAAAGCAAGACTCAAAAGAATTAAGCTTATTCCAAGCAATTTATTTATATCTCAGAACAAAGTTCAAGAATATTTATAGGAATATAAAAATATCTAGCACCTAACCAGGAAGAATTCACAATGTATGGCATTTAATTGAAAGTTAAAAAAGGCTTTCAAGGAAGCAGGGAAATACAAGCCATAAAAAGGAGATAATCAAAATTAAGGTGGAACTGAGACTGATGGTAGAATTAGCAGAAAATTATGTAGAAAGAGGATATTCTAACTTTATTCCATGTATTCAAAAATTTAAATAGATATTTTAAAGACCCAAATTGAATTCTATGAATTAAAATCTATGAAAATATGTCAGATGTATTAACAGCAGATTAGATATTAGAAAAGATTACAGAAATTGAAGACATAGCAATTAGAAACTCTCTAATATTAATCACAAAGCGAAAAGATAAATTATAATGGATACAGCAAGCTCATATGAGAACTCCAATATGCTTAAATTAAGTCCTTAAAGGACAGAATAAAACATATTTGAAGAAATTATAGTCAAACTTTGCCAAATTTAATAAAACCTGTAAACCTATAAAGTCAAGTAACTCAAGTGCAGAAAAAAAAAAGAAAACCATATTATGATAAAACTGATCAAAATTACTGATAAAGAGGAAATCTAAAGGCAAAGAAAATAAGCATATTAAAATTAAGTTATGATAACAAAACTTCCACTGGAAACAGCAGAAGCAAAAACCCTTTAAAAAAAAAAGATGAAAAAAGTCAACTAGAATGCTTTATCAAGAAAAATAGCTTTCAGCATTAGGATAAAATACAAATGTTTAAAAGTTGTAAGAATTCATCCCCAGTACATCTGCAGTACAGAAAATGTTGCGGGCTATCTCTGGCAGAAAGGAATTGATAAGACAAATATCTACTCAAAAGACTGAAGGCAAGGCAAATGTAATTACATAGGTAAACATATGATTTATTTTAATACAAATCACCTTGAAAGGTCCTGTAGTGGCTGGAGTTCGGGCTTGTGCCGAGGGTGGGCCTTGATGGGAGCAGGCAACACAGCCTGGTTTCCCGTTGGGGGCAAAGGTCTCCTAGAACACTGCGTCAACAAGGGCGGCCACCGCGCCTGCGCTTTGCGTGCCTTCCCCCAAAGCCACCGTCACCAGGGAAACCCCAGTCCAGAGACTTGCTTCATGGCCACCGCGAAGAAGGCAGCGGTGGGACCCTTAGTGGGGGCAGTGGTGCAGGGCACCAACTCCACTCGCTTTTTGGTTTTCAAAGCAAAAACAGCAGAGCTACTTAGTTATCATCAAGTGGAATTAACACAAGAGTTCCCAAAGGAAGGATGGGTGGAACAGGACCCGAAGGAGATTCTTCAGTCTGTCTACGAGTGCATAGCGAGAACTTGTGAGAAACTTGACCAAGAAAATATTGATATATCCAACATAAAAGCTATCGGTGTCAGCAACCAGAGGGAAACCACTGTCGTGTGGGACAGATTAACGGGAGAGCCTCTCTACAATGCCGTGGTTTGGCTTGATCTAAGAACCCAGTCCACCGTTGAGATTCTTAGTAAAAAAATTCCTGGAAATAATAACTTCGTCAAGTCTAAGACTGGCCTTCCACTTAGCACTTACTTCAGTGCTGTAAAACTTCGTTGGTTGCTTGACAATGAGAGAAAAGTCCAAAAAGCTGTGGAAGAAGGTCGAGCTCTTTTTGGTACCATTGATTCTTGGCTTATCTGGAGCATGACAGGTGGAGTAAATGGAGGTGTCCATGGGACAGACGTAACAAATGCAAGTAGGACCATGCTTTTCAACATTCATTCTTTGAAATGGGATAAAGAGCTCTGTGACTTTTTTGAAATTCCGATGAACATTCTTCCAAATGTCTGGAGTTGTTCTGAGATCTATGGCCCAATGCAAGGTGGGGCTTTGGAAGGTATCCCAATATCTGGGTGTTTGAGTGACCAATCCGCTGCATTAGTAGGACAAATGTGCTTCCAGGAAGGACAAGCCAAAAACACATATGGAACAGGCTGTTTCTTACTGTGTAATACAGGTCGTAAGTGTATATTTTCTGAACATGGCCTTCTGACCACAGTGGCTTACAAACTAGGCAAAGACAAACCAGTATATTATGCATTGGAAGGTTCTGTTGCTATAGCTGGTGCTGTTATTGATTGGCTAAAAGACAACCTTGGTATTATAAAGACCTCAGAAGAAATTGAAAAACTAGCTAAAGAAGTAGGTACTTCTTATGGCTGCTACTTTGTCCCAGCTTTTTCAGGGTTGTATGCACCTTACTGGGAGCCGAGTGCAAGAGGAATAATCTGTGGTCTCACTCAGTTTACCAATAAATGTCATATTGCTTTTGCTGCATTAGAAGCTGTTTGTTTCCAAACTCGAGAGATTTTGGATGCCATGAACCGTGACTGTGGAATTCCACTCCATCATTTACAGGTAGATGGAAACATGACCAACAACAAAATTCTTATGCAACTACAAGCAGATATTCTACATATTCCAGTAATTAGGTCTTCCATGCCTGAAACAACAGCACTGGGAGCTGCCATGGCTGCAGGAGCTGCAGAAGGAGTAGGTGTTTGGAGTCTTAAACAGGAGGATTTGTCAGGAATCACCATGGAACGGATTGAACCACAGATCCAGGTCACAGAAAGTGAGATCCGTTATTCTACATGGAAGAGAGCTGTGATAAAGACAATGGGTTGGGTTTCAACACAGTCTCCTGAAAACAGTGAACTTGCTATCTTCTCTAGTCTGCCCTTGGGCTTTTTTATAGTGAGTAGCATGATAATATTAATTGGAGCAAGATACATCTCAAGCTTGCCCTAATAATTGCAGCATTGGGCTTGCAAAAAGAAACCAGCAATTCTGAATTTCAATATGATAATACTATTAGAGACTCTGGTTTTTATTTATGGACCATTTACTGCATGATCCATGAGAAGTAGATCTGTGGCTTAAAATAAAGAAAATGCAGTAGAAAAACACTGTAGAATCGTCATGTGTTTTGTTGTTGTTTTTTTAACATAGATAGTGAAGCTGACACAACATCTTCCCCCATTCTTGGAAAATACAGGATATTCAGATTCTATCTGTAGAAACTTTCACCACACATAGTCTGTCATATTTGAAAAAAAACCGTTACCTGTGCTAATAAAGTTAAGAGCTATAACTAATCTGCTAAAATGGAAGGTTATCTTATTATAGCTGTTGTTTTTAATACCTTTGTATCCTCTTTTCTACATGTTAGGGAGAAAACACCATCTTCACTGAATGTTTAATGGAAATATTTGCCAAACATTTAACAGTAGAAATTAAATTTTCTCACAGCATAGATGCTTTCCTAAAAAATAGCCAAATTTAAATTTTTCAGACATTTCATATAGTCACACTAATTACACAGTATTGGTGCATATATCCCACAGGGATAAAGACACTTCTTTCCTTTTGCCTTTTATGTATTTTGTTCTGTGTATAAAATATATAGATCATATAGAATAGCCCATGGCTGTACATTGTAGCCAGTAGGTTATAACAGGAATGCCCTAACTGTACAGTATAGAAATAAGCATTTTAGGTAAATAGCTATATACGTTTTTGGGCAATATGCATATATATTATTTACTGAAAGACATTTTTTTAAAAGGTGGAATTTAAATATTAACTATATGTTTCAATTCCCAGCACCAAAGAAAGGTTTCAAAGAAATTTTAAGTATTTATTTTATGTCTTTACAAAAATTATAATTTTTAGACCTTACTTTTTATTTAATTGTCTTAGGTAAAGGCTAGAAATAGAAAAGGCTATGTGAAGCTTCAGTAAACATTTTAAAACAGGAGAAATATATTCAAACAATATTCTTGGGGCTTAAACATATGTAAAGAAAACAACAGTATTAAGAAGGTTGGAAAGGTATATGGAAGTGTCAATTTTGAGATTCATATACTATACAGGAAGTGGTATAATATCACTTGAAATTGCAAGGAAAATTAAAGATGCATATTCTAAAATTGCAAGGAAAATTAAAGATGCATAAGTTCTAAAGTGAAAAAGTTATTAGTAAGTCAGTTAAATATGTCAGAACTATAAAATTACTAAATGAGTACTACAGAATATACAAAACAGATGAAATGGAACAAACAATAAACAAAACAAAAAATAAAAGAAAATGCATTTAAACCTAACAATTCCAAGAGGCATGTTATAGGTAAATGATCTAACTGTTTCAATTAAAAAAAAGATTATCGTATTTAAAAAGCAAAACCTAAATTTATTCTGCAACTCAAAATCACACTTCATATATACATTTTTAAAAATTAGTTAAAAGTAAAAGTACAAGCTGGGTGTGGTGGTGCATGCCTGTAATCCCAGCACTCAGGAGGCTGAGGCAGGAAGACTATGGTGAGTTTGGGGCCATCTTGGGCTACATAGTGAGTACAACACCAGCCTGAACTATATAGTATGACCCTGTCTCAAAAAAAAAATTTTTAAAAAGTAAAAGTAAGGAAGATAAGATATGCTGTGCAAAATCAATCAAAATAAATCTGGAGGACCTATCGTAATATCAAAAAGGAAATTTCAGAGCAAAGGATATCACCAGTAACAATTTTTCAGTGATAAAGGTATGTGTCCAAGATATTGTGGTTCTAAATATGTACTTAAGGAACAGAGTTTCAAAATATATAAAACAAAATCTAATATAACGAAAAGAAAAAGTAGAGATAGCCATCACAGCAAGAGATAGCAATATTTGACATACGTAGAATAATAATTCAGTAAGTATAGAAGACTTGAACAACACAGGGACAGTTAGGCTAGCCCTTTGTTTTATGGGATTAATAGGCATCCTGGAAAATTGGGAGTTAAAAAATAGACTGGTCGTCAAGGCTCTGAAATTAAGGGAATGCACTTGGACACAGGCTGTTGAAGTCATCTTAGCCTTCACAGACTATGTACTCACAGAGACACAAAGGAAGGAGGGCCAAGTAAAGCAGATTCTTAAAATCAACTCGGGGCAGGGGAGTGACCTTCCCTGCTTCAAAACCCAACTAGAAACTTTCCCAGATGACAAAGGACACATTCCAGGCGGCAAGAGACAAACACATGTGTAGAACAGTCACTAACATAACTTATAGCTATTTTACTTTATTAGCATAGTAAAAATCAAAACAAGGGTGGAGAGTTAACAGGGTAATGAGGTACACATCACATGAAGAAGCATGATGACAAAGAGTGCAGGCAGCTAAATCTCCTTTATGCCCAAAGACATCAAGAGTGGGTCTGTGCCTACTGCACAGAAGCCATGAAAGTCATACGTACACCTTTGTCCTTTGGGTTGGCCTAGGGTTCCTATCTCTCATGATTTTCCACTTGTTCTGGAGCATAAGAAAATATAAGCCTTGCTCCTGTGCCAAAGATTTCATTCTTCTGATAGAAAACACAAGAACCAACAGCGTCAGTAACAACGTTTGACTTGATATTCATAGCACATACTACCCAACAATACAATATATATTCAGGTGTGTACGAAACATATACCATACTCAGGCATAAACCAAGCCTCAAAAAATTAAAAATGAAATTTATATCAAGTATGTTTTCTGAGCATAAGGGAACTATTAATCAATAAAAGAAAGATCTCTGGAAAAAATCTCCAAATATTTGGAAACCAAATAAGAAACTTTAAATAATCCACAAGCTAAAGACCTAAAGAGTAGAAGCAGAAATGATTTGGAGTTGAAGGAAAATGAAAATGCAACATATCAAAATTTGTGAGCTATTTCTAAAAGGAATAGCTAGGGAAAAATTTATAGCCGAACAGGTCTATATTAGAAGAGATAAAAACTCCTAAATAAATGACTTCAACCTCCACTTTGAGAAAGAAGAGATAGAACAATGATTTAAATTCAAAGTAAGTAGAAGGAAGTGGTAAAAATGAAATCAGTAATCACTGATGTAGAAAACAAAAAATGTTAGCATACATCCATAATCAAAAGTTGTTGTCCTTTTTTTTTCCTTTCATGTATCAATGATTTTGGCACTCTTTCAGCCAGACTTATTAGAAAAGAGAGAAAAAGTGTCAATGTTGAGAATGAAAGCAACATCATAATAGGTGCTAAGAGTCTGGGAATATTATGAACACTTTATGCCTGTAAATTTAACAATATGTAAAATGAATAAATTCCTTGGAAACCACAAATGAAAAAAAAAAGGTAGACTAAAATGGCTCTGTATCTCTTTTAAAAAAATTAATTTCTAGTTTAAAACCTACCCCACAATGAAAAACCCAAGGCTTCAAAATGATTTTTACCAAATATATAAGACACAATTGACATATGTTCTATATAAACTCTTACAGAAAACTGAAAAAAAAGGGAATATTTTAAAACTCACTCTATGAGACCAGGTTTCTAGTGGTATTCTAATTGCAACATCAGAGAAAAGACTTTACAAGAAATAAGAACTACAAACCAAAAGGAATCTCACTATTATTCTGTGTTACTAATATGCACCACTTTAAAAATATTAAAAATTTTAGTTTTTTGGAAAACATATAGAAATAAGACCTACAGACCAACATCCTTCATAAACATAGATACAAAAATTAAAAACAAAGCTTTTAGGGGCTGAGGATTTGGCTCAGTTGTTCTGCTGCCTGCCTCGCAAGCTCAAGGGCCCGAGTTCAATTCCTGGTATAAAAAAAAATTTTAGCAAAATTAATCTAACAATACTTAGAAAGAATAACACCACATGACCAATGAGACAATGTCAAGGTTAAAAGGACTGACCATGCCTTATATAAAAGAACTGTACCTCTTACATACTTCTCGTGCAACATAAAATCATACAACCATTTTGGAAAACAGTTTAACAGTTTCTCTCCAAAATAAATGTGCATTTTTCTTATTATCACAAAGATTTGCTCAAGAGAAATGAGAATATATGTCATAAACAAAGACTTATTATAGTCCCAAACCAGACCCATTTCAAATGTCCATTAATAGCTAAATATATAAACTATGGTAAATCCATTTAACAGAATACTATACAACCACAAAAAGAAATAAATTATTGATACTCACTGAAACATAGGAGAATTGCAAAATAATTAAGTGAAATAAGCCAAAGTATATGCAATAATATATAATCTTATTTGTATAAATCTCAGAAAATGCAAACTATTATAGAATGACAAAAAGTAGATCCATGGCTGCTTGGGAATTGAGGGCCTGGGTCTGACAAGTGGACAGGAAGGGGTAGGAGACATGATTCTAAAAGAGCACAGGGGTCAGGGATTTAGCTCAGTGGTTTTGCCACACAAGAGCCTGAGTTTGATCCCAGTACCAACATAAATAAATAATAAAAGAGCACAAAGAAAATTCAGGGTGATGAATATACTGTTTCAAGGATAAATATATATGTTGAAATTAATCAAATTAAGCCACACTATGCCACTTAGGAGCAATTTATTAAATGCCAATATCATCTCAACAACTTTTTTTTTTTTTTTTTTTGGTACCAGGGATCAAACTCAGGACCTTGTGCTTGCAAGGCAGGCAGTGGAACCACTGAGCTAAATCCCTGGGCCTCAAAAGCTATCTTTAAAAATTTATTTTTGAACTCTTAAGGAATATAACCAAAATTCACTCAAACAGCTTCATCTCTGCGGTTCTTCATGAACACAGCAGAGTTGGGGTGCGCCAGTCCCTATTTCCAGCAGGTCTCTGAGCTGTGTTTGAAGTCAGCTGTGTGATTACACTGGAAAAGTACATGAGAATGTCTACTATCATTTAAAACAAATTAATTTCCCATTTCATTTCTCTGGTTGTAATTCTCAGACTGGGAGCTATTGCAAATGACCTTATCAAGAGTCACAAACAAAGATATCATTAGAAAAATCAGGCTAAAAGTCCTCAAACTCACCATCTTATTCTCCCTCTTTCCACATACACTCCTATGATTATCAGCTTTCCTTTTTTTTTTTAAATTTTTGCCTTTGCAAGTCTCATTTTTAAATTTATTGGCAAATTACAGTACTTTGCCCCGACTGTAAAAGAGCTTCTGTTTACTCTATTATAAAATTATCTAGTGAATAATTTCTC